CTAACCATACCACCACTTTGTTTCTGTCTATTAGGGAAAAAAACCATAAAGTGTAGATAAAAAAAAAAGAAAAAACACATTTTCAAGTAAAAATATACAATATATTTGATGTAAAAACTTGTACAGAATGCCTTTTAGCTTCATATATGCTATACATATGGGTTCCAACGGGGTCACTTTGACATCCTTCATGATTTACAGAAATGTCCCCAGTAATGACTGTTTTATGTGCATTGTTACAAACATACGGAACAAAACAGCCCTTGGGTGTGTTTTAAGAGGCCAAGATGACGTGCAACCGACTTGTATAAAAAAATCCCTGAAAAATGTCTTTGTTGAGGTAAGAACGCTCCAGTCATCCTTGCTTCTTTTCTTTTTCTTTCAGGCATTAAATTCATTAACCTGTTCTAATACAAACAGGTACAATGAGAGAAAGAAAGAGGCTATTTACACACTCCGGTACGCAGTAGCTGCAGGATGTAAAGTGTCCGGGGGAAACCCCAAAATAAGGTGGGTTTCCAGTTGTTGGTACCCTCATTACTTTCATAGCTGCTCCTTATAAACATGGGAAAAGCCAGTCTTTAAAATTATACCTCAACATAGTAACCAACACTTCAGTTTTATATTAAAGAATGGCCAAGGCCTCAGCACAAATTGGCAAACATACTGTAAAGATTACAAAACAGGATGAACAGGATCTTGGAACTTTTGCATGGCTTCTGGATGGTAAATATTTAAACAGTTTAAATTTATATATGTACAGCATTGCCATAATTTGAACATAAAATATTGTTTGCTAAATTCTGTGTGAAAACTTAATCTTCAGTAGGAAAACTGTGGAGTAGTGCTACCTGAATAAGTAAGGTTATTTCCCTCAGCTTGAATGAAGTCACATATTGGACCCCAGAAAACATTCAGATTGGCTACAGATTTGCTGTATGCATTAATCCTATGTAGGCATGGGCTGGTATCAAACTACTCCTGTTTTATTTTTTTTTTTTAATCACACTGTTACAACAGTTTATTAGAAGCAAGATCTGTCTAAGTTGCAACTACCCTGTTTTTACAGTGGGATTGGCTGGCAGGAAGAAGGTTCCAAACTTGCATAAAAAAAGCAATTTGTCTATTTAAAAATATAGTTGTTGCAAAAGCTCCCTTGTGACCATGGTGTAGATACAGTTATGAAAACTACTACCGAGCCAAAACTGTTGTTTTTGGCCTGCTATAAGTGTATGGAAGATAAGATCTATTGAAATAGTTAGCCCAACAAATGAACAGTTTAGCTTTGAATACCAGTGTTACAGCAAAAACATATTTTGTATAAGTACCCATAACTACGGTACTTAGTGATTCTTACATCTTAAATCAAGTTTTCTCATTCCTTATTCTATTACCTTTTTTTACTCCTTAATTAAGTAACATCTTTTTTTTTTTTATTGTATCATATTTTTTTTTTATAATTAAAAGCTGTCTCTCTTTGGTCACATCACATTTCTTATTATTTTGAAGCCCTTTTTTGGAGCACACTTTTTTGAGTTTTTGTTTAAAGAATACTTTAATTTTAAAACTAAAAAAGGTCTATTTCACTCATTTTGGGGCATTTTATTGCTGTTAGATCAGGGTTTTAAACTGTACTTTGGTCAGTTTGGATTACATACCAGAACAGCCATTGGTCCCTCCAAGACTTTTATCATTTTGGGAACTGAACACAGCCTTATGGATCTTAAACATTTCCATTTTTTTAGAGTATCCAATATTTAAGTCGTAAAAGGAATAATTTGGGTAACATTATATACTTTTAAGTTAATTTCGTGGAACTTTTACTTGATGTTATATGACTTTTCATACCAGCTCTTGTCTATGCATAACTGAACCATAAAGTACAACAAACAGTCCAAAAGGAATCAAAGACTTCAAAAAATTATAAAAAAGTCCATCTATTATGACTGTACATGGCCATTCAATAATACAGTATGGAGGATAGTTAGATTGGTTCTATTGTTATATAATAAGGCATCAGAACAGTAGCTTTTGTATTTCCTTGTACATAGACTCTGTTAAACAGATCAATGCAGCTCGATGTGAAGTTGAATACTGTCACTGACTTAACTGCCTGCGTCAGCAATTCAGGCATCTGATGAGCTCAGATGAAGCCACCAAAGGAAACAACAACAACTCCTCATGTCGTCTCCAGCTGAAAGACATTGTGATTGGTTGGCGTGGTGAAGAAAAGCTGCTCCTCGCTGGTAGAGCGGTTATCGCAGGGCGTGTGTCGCCCCAGTGTCCTCTCAAAGTCTAAGAGCTGACCCATGAAGTTGAAATTTGGTGAGATGTTGGACTTCTTCCTCTTTACAAAGTCGTACGCGTCGTTTAGAGAGAGGTTCAGCCTCTGCATAAGGTAGGCCACAGTGACTGTGACTGAGCGGCTGATGCCTGCCAGGCAATGGACCAGGATCCCACATCGCTTTGATCGTGCCTCATCTACGGGAGAAAGGGAAAATCCAGGTCGGAAATGTGTAAACAACATGACCGTAACAAGTTCTGCTATAATGGTTGGTGCGATTCCAATTCAGCTCAGCTATGAGTAAGCAAACAGTTGTCAGCTTGCAAAACTGGAATCAAACAAAACCCCAACAGAGGGGAAGCATCACTTCCTTCCTCATTCAATGTATGAACCTACTGAGAAACCCGCTCCTGACAACACAACACAGTAACCACCAAACAAACAACAGTGGTTTCAGGTGGAGTCATAGTGAGAAACACCAAACCAAAAGCAAAACTCAAATGCAACCCTGCCATAACAATACAAAAAAACAATACGCATTAGAGTGTTGTACTCGATTTAAACTTTTGATAAGTAGTGATAGGTATTCCACCTTTCCACCTGCCAGACCCTTTTATAGTCGGCCACAGCTAAAACCTATTGGCCCCTTAAGCATCATGTGCCTTGGTGGTTAACAGGTTAAAACACATGAAAAAATAGGAAACCTCATATATAAAACTATTCAATAGAGATAAACTGATTTTTTCTGACCAATACTAGTTTAAGGTTTTGACCACTAATGACCTTTTTCATTTTAGGGACTGCAAAGCGCTGGGTTCCTTTATGAAGATGGTAGTTTTAAAAATTTCAAAACTTTTTCTTTTTTTTTATATTTAAATCTTTTGTTTCATGCATTGTATGACTAAAGGATAAAAATTTTTTAAAGATTTTTAATTTTTTTTTTTTATTTTAAATGGAAATTCTCAGTAACAAAAAACCTTCCTGAGGTCTGACATTGTTGGTTCACTTACCAATAAATGATATGGCTTCTGGAAAGAACTGGGACAGGTTCTGACTCCAATGGTCTGAAATCGGGATCTTCTTGTATCTGAAGTGGCTCTTGTGCTCAAACACATTGGGCAGATTGGGTGTGACGTTCAGGATGTACGTGATGTTGTACTGGCCCAGCACGTCTAGGTTACTGGAGTCTTTGGCGCAGCCCAGGTAGAGGTAAGGAAGGATTTGGACGGGAAAATCTGGCTGATTGCTGGGAACGGGGCTCTCCTCTGATTCTGTTGCACTGCTGGGCTCTCGATCAGATTCACCGTCTGAACAGTCCGAGCTAATCCTCAGACCCCCAAAGCCCAAGACAGGTATAGTGGGGGAGGAGCTAGGACAGGAGCTGTCCAGAAGAGTCTCGCAGTGCTCTGGGTACTCTGTGTGGAACTTCACAAAACCACCTAAATGGATGATAAAAACAAACTTCAATTATTTAATCATTTACAAAAGCATAATATTTGAATCTATGATGATGCACCATTGAAGAAATTGTAATTGAACAATTTAGCCCTGATCACTCTTCTGAACCTTAATACTCCAAGAAATAACAGTGTCTGTTTATAACCTAGCATGGGCTCGTGAATTTTTTTTATGGTTTGATAAGTTTGAATAAAAGTATAATGTATTTACTGTAGTTTTATAAACTATTATAGCACAATTACATATATTTTTTAATTTAAACCCCAAAACGAAATTATTCCTGTTGCAATTTAACAAAAAATATATTTTTTAGATATAATTTTCTTTCAACACACTTGCAATTTGATTTTGATACATCTTTAGTTCCTAACTATCCATGTTTTGTCTCTACTAATAGCTGACTTGGTCTTTCTTAAAACCAAATGATCCCATCAGCCTTTACCCAGACAGCTGAGAGGCAGTGCCCAGCAATAGGTGAAGGATAGGCAGAGCGCCAACAGTTGCAGCATATCTTAACTCTGGTCATGAGTCCACATCAGTAAAACTGTAAAAGCCAAAAACTTATCAGATTTGAAAAATGTCATTAACTGGTTAATTATTCATCATATTTCTGTTTTCCGGGATAGTTATTATTAGATAATCAATTGTTTTAATTTAGAGAGTGAAAAGCAACAGGTATCCCTACTTGATAAAACAATACTAATATAACACATTAATACAGTCATAAATAACATTACTTTCATTTTAATACGTTGATAGTTACACACTATGTCATATATATATAGATATATATATATATATATAAAATACCCCAAATGTATCTTTCCTGTAAGCAAGGGAACAACAGAGTAGTCATTTTTTTCTTAAAATAAGTGCATTTGTTCTTGAATTGAGGAGATAAGAGACATTTTGCCAATGGAACAAGACAATTTAGATTTAAAATAAGAAAACACAACTGCATTGTCTTATTTCAAGTGCATATTATCTAATTATCTTATTTTAAGAGTAAAAATACTGATTCCTTTGGCAAATTATCTCATTTACCTGTACAAATCAAGGGTCAATCAATACACTTAATTTAAGAAATTTCTATATAGTTTTTTTTCAGTGTATGGAGTTAGACATCCAGTATTTGGTTGTATCCCTTACAGGTTGATCCTTGTGAGTTACAATATTTAGGAAAGGATCATTTCTTTTATTGAAGAAGTTTGTTTCATAAAGTGAAACTCAAACAGCACTGCTGAGAATATATACATATATAAATACCCTAAATGTATCTTTCCTGTAAGCAAGGGAATGACCTATTAGGTAAGACCTTATATGACAATAACTTGTGCAATATCTAATGTGCAATTACTATTTGATACCCTGTGCAATAACTATATATAACTATTCAATAGCCTGTCAATAAACTTGTATAATAATCCTTAACATTTTCCTTCTTTCACTCAGCTGAGCGAAGGTGTTTAGAAACATATTAGGTAGGGGCAGGGGCGGAGGTAGATGGGGGGCCATGGCCCCCCTTAGCCACTCATTGGCCACCCCTACCATTTTTTTCCCTCCAATACAGATGTTGGCAGCAGTAATACTCCCAAGTGGAATATTCAAAACATTTATATTTTTTGTGGTTAATTATACACATCAATATACCAACATCAAAGATGATAAATACAGAACTCATGCTCTTTTCAGAACTAGATTTTATGTTTTAAAGGGTAAAGAGAAAAATATGTGTGTCTGCAAGTCATCTGGGAGTCTACAGTGAAATCATAGATAAATAACAATTTTAATAAAAACTTTTAAAAATAAGCAATTTATGTAGATATTAGTGCTTGTAAATATAAATTTTATGCAGAATATTTATTCATAAAAGTAGGTAAGTAATTACGATGGAAAAGATTTACACCCAGGAACTCAAAACTGAAAGAGTTTCAGACACTGTACCTTTTATTTAGAAAGGACTGATGTTTAAATATATGTGTCTACTTGTTAGTAAAGGCTGTGGCAAAGTATAGTTAGTCTTTATTTCGAAAATATGTATGTTTTGCTCGTTAATTTTCCAGTTGGAACAGTGTAGATTGAGCCTGAGGTTCTGGTGCCTATCAGTATACATTGGTTATTACCTGGCCACCCTTATGAAAAGGTTCTGGGTTCGCCTCTGGGTAGGGTCAGCATTACTTTTTAAAGTTGTTTTCTATTACTTTATTTTATTACTGGTGAAAAAAAAAAAAGGAGCTTCACTTTAAAAGTCTGAGGTTCCCTAGAAGGACCATTCATGAAATACATGTCTGTTCCTGCTGAAGCAAAACATGCTGCAGCCATTTTGGAATTTTAATTGAGAATCTCAGCAGTGACACCAAACTTTTGAACACCTTTCAAACTGTAACCGTTGGACACAGGAGTCATTTTATAGATTATTTTCAGTCAGATAACGCGGAAAGTGTCGAATTTTAAACAAACATATTTAAAGGGATATTTATCTCTAATAAAACACCGACATAAGAATGATTACCTTCTAGAAAATAGGCTTTACAGCCGTCTTCTCGCAGTTTGTTGAGCAGCAGGGAGAGCGTGGTGGCCGGGGAGCCTCCGTCCTGCCAGTCCGCGCAGCTCTCATCATACAGGAGCACCGTGTCCGTCTTGCACCGCCTCAAGAACTTCTCCTTGTCCTCGTGTTTGGGGATGACGGTCTGGATCGGGATGTTGCCCTTCCTGAACCTCCGCAGCATGAGGCCGGTCATGGCCAGGTTTATGGCGCTCTCTATGTGGGAGGATTCATAGAGCTCGTGAGAGCGGCAGTCCAGCAGGAGCAGAGAGGAGGCTCCGCTCTCCAACTCCAGCTGCAGCCATTCCACGCTTTTACTCGGCCTCGCGTTAGACATGTCGCGCTCACTATCATGCTACAAACACGCCAGTAGTTTGTTTATTATTCCGTCATCTCACCCAAAAAACAACAACAAAACAAGTAGCGTTAAATGTTGCCTCGCCAGTCCATAGCGCTTATTCTGGTTAAGCGAAAAGATTTCCTCTTTTTCCTCCTCTCTCCTTCCATCAGTTAGAGTGAGCTGAATAGTTTCTAAACACTTCTCCTTCCACTTTAATGTCCCTGTTTCACTGCCAGTAAAGTCCCGATCAACTTCAGCTGCTCTAAAACGCACCAGGGTTCATGGAGCACATTGTCGTTTTAATCATTCCGATGCATGAGTTTTTTTCTTCTCTTTACTTTTTTTTTCTCTCATGACAGAAGAGCGAATCGAGGGGAGGAGTTTGTTTCTTACAATTTAAAGTCATAGCTGAAATTTCGCAAAGTCTGAATGAAATCGTTTGGAGATCTATATACTACACTGCAAAAAGTATTTTTTTCTTAAAATAAGAATAAACGAGACAACTTAAATAATTTAATCATTCCCTTAGCAAAAAGTAGTTTATTCAAAAGTGCACTAATTTCATACTTAAAATCAGAGTGTACTTATTCTAAACTATTTTTCATATACTTAATAATAGTATAGTCAAGTGTACTTGACTATACTATTGTTTACTTTATTGTTTATTAAAGTAAATGTCCCAATTTAGTTCGACGTAGTATTACTTTAGTAATACTTCAAGTACACTAAAAGTACATTGTTCGGTATACTTTCTAAACTTATACTCAAGTATTCTTAATAGAATTTACTTCAAATATACTACTTTTTGCTAAGGGTTTATAAAAGCTTCATATTTGAATCTATGATGCACCATTGAAACAGCAAGAAACTGTAATCGAACCATTTAGCCCTGATCACTCTTTATCTATCTAATTATCTTATTTTAGGGGTAAAAATACTGATTCCTTTGGCAAATTATCTTATTTATCTATACAAGTCAAGGGTAAATACACTTAATTTAAGAAATTAATTTTACTAATTTCTATATCGTTTTTTTTTTTTCATTGTATGGAGTTAGACAGCCAGTATTTGGTTGTATCCCCTACAGGTTGATCCTTATGAGATAGAATATTTAGGAAAGGATCATTTCTTTTATTAAAGAAGTTTGTTTCATAAAGTGAAACTCAAAGGCACTGCCAAAAAATAAATAAATAAATAAATAATATATATATATATATATATATATATATATATATATATATATATATATATATATATGACATAGTGTGTAACTATCAATGTATTGCAAAGAAAGTTATGTTATCTATGACTGTATTAATGTGTTATATTAGTACTGGTCTTGCTCAGCAACATACTCTGAACATCTGTGCAGAGTATGGGCTGGAAACCCCAAGGTCAAAGTGGGAAACACCTCCAAAGGTGGTAGAGGATGATCCAGTGAGCCAAGATCCTGTGGGACTTCCAGATACAGATGGACAGTATGGTAATGGCAAACCAAGCGGACATTGTGGTGGTGGACAAAAAGCAGAGGGAAGCTGTTGTGGTTGAGATAGCAATACTAAGTGATCGCAACATCAGGAAAAGAAACATGAGAAACTAGAGAAATAATAGGGCCTCAGAGAAGAGCTGGAGAAAATCTGGAAGGTGAAGGCATCAGACATCTCGGTCCAGAAGAGTGCAGTTCTAGGAACAGCAAGGATACTGCGCAGAACCCTCAAGTTGCTGAGCAAAACCCCTAACCTCACACTGCTCCCTGGGGGTCATACAATGGGCAAGATCAATTAAATTAAATTATTAATATTATCATTATAGATCCTTCCTCCAGCTGTGAGACTCTATAACCACCACTGGTTCCAACAACCTCAATAAGTTGTTAGATTCATGCTGATTTTTGCACAGATTCTGTCTTAGTCAGTTA